TCCTGGGATCGAGTCCCGCATCGGGCTCTCTGCTCCTTGGGAGCCTGCTTCTCCCTCTGCCTCTCTCTGTCTCTCATGAATAAATAAATAAAAATCTTTAAAAAAAAAAAAAAAGAAGAAGACACATGGCTGAGATTGAAGGCAGAGTCTTCGTGTGATGTCGTCTGTTCCAAGTAGGGGCACACCCCCCATGAAGGCCAGAGAGATGGTTTTTGGGGAGCACTAACAGCAGAGAGGAGGGGCAACAGGAGGAAATGTGGGAGAGCCATCACTCAAAGGCTCAGGGAACCACCATGGAAAACTTGCCCTCACTGAATGAAAAGGATCTTTTCCCTGTGTATCTAGCTGGCGGGCACAAACAGGCACATTCGCAGTGTTTGTGAGCACAGGGACGGGCAAAAGCAGCCAGCAGGGCCTGGCTTGCTCTCTACTGCTCTTTCAGAACTTACTCCACACAAACACACAGAGCTAACACGTGGCCATCAGACACCTCTCACAGGTTCAGAGGATTTAGCTAAACTGTACATAAGCCACTGTTTACAGAACCTTAAGATCTCTGATAGCACTGTAACTACTCTTGCTTGGATTACCACAAACTAAGCCACCAGCAGGGCGAGGGCTGCCTGGGTGGGATCTGTGGGTGTGCTGGTGCCTGGGCGGCCGGCGGCAGGGCCTCCGTCGGAGAGCAGGGGAGGTCTTCCTGCAGCTCCGGTCTGTGGGGTTGTGGGTCAGCGCATGGAACTGAGCTGGTGGACAAGCTATGGTGACAGAAGACAAACAGCGCACACCTCGAGCCAACCTCTGACAAAATGTGGCCACATCACAGCTGAAAAGCCCTTGAAGATGCACACATTGGTCCGGTAAGCCACCAGAGAAATACTTCAAAAGAAACCACATGCATGGTTGCCAATGCCTCCCTTGTTTCCAACCCCAATCCCCCACCAACTGAAATTATAAAGTTCAACTCACTTATCGTCTTTCTCATAAATATTCAGTCCGAGGGCATCAACTCCAAGCCAAAGGTCTGTTCCTTTCTTATTTTTTATCTCAAAATAGTTGATTCCATACATTTCCAGGTCCTGAGCAATCTTCAGATACTCCAACATGGCACTGTCCCTAGCAGGGAGAACAAACAAGGACATGGTCATTCGTGCGTGCGGTATCGGAACCGTAAAACCGCAGCTCTGGCAGGATGGGCTGACAGCTGTGGGTTTGGTGCTGTCCCTCTGTTGGCCATTCACGCCTGGGCCCTGAGCTGTTGGACGCTGACCACTGATGTACTCTAGACGTTCTGAAAGAACTGAACAGACTCATGCTGGGTTCTTTCTCTGGACACAGGAGGTTTTCCTTTTAGACTGTCCTGGTAGGCAGTCTTTCTCTCACCCACATGCTGCTGCAGGGACTCCCACTGTCCATGTCACTAGCAGCCACCACTTAGGCCTTGAGCTCTTTCCCTCCACAAAAGACGCTTAGGACAGATGAGAGCTGAAGGACGCAACGTCTGTGAGGCCCAAACTATAAATAAACTTCTAAGGTTGGGGGAATGCACAGAATTGCTGCTAATGCCCCAGGTGAGGATTCTAGGGCAACAGAGAATCTGCCCATTTCTTACCTCTAATAGCCACATGTCACATCATGTTCCTCCTTCATGCCTCCTTTGTGCTTCTTTCATAGTAAGTGTTTCTCACTTGGGATCAATTTTTTCCCATTGTGAACAATGCTCCTGCCCTCTTGACTAAAACAAGTGTTTTAGACCCAAGACCTTCTCTCCTCTAAAACAAGGGAGAAGGCTTTAGGGCCTGAGGCTGAATCTAAACTGCTTCTTACCCCCAGACATAAACACCTGGCTTTATTTAAGAGAAACCTCCTGAGCAACTAACTGTTACCTTTCACTGCTCTGCCCGCTCGGGCTGAAGCCCAGGGCAACGGCTCCGGGAGCTAACCACCCCGAGGACCCTATGTGGGGTTAATGCCAAGGCAACCCACTGGAGAGGCAGGAGCCAGTCCGCACTCACTTGAGCATCCCGCGGTGCTCGGCGTGCCACACCTGGATCCGGTCCTCCCACTGGTCCCTGGTGAGCTTGTGCTGGTCCATGACTCTGAATTGCAAAAAAGGCGGCACAAGAAGGTCACCACAAAGGGCCGTGAGAGGCAAGCAGCGGGCCCCCACCCACCTGCAAACCTTGAGTTTTCTTTCAAATAAAACCACCCACAAAGAGTGTTTCTACTTCCTAATATGCAGCATTTTGGACAATTAACAACTTAAAAGACTTAGAACTTAGAATGAGACATATCCAGCCTTGCTGGAAAAATTTTAAAATGGTATTTTATATTGTAAGGGGACTCTTCTTCCAAAAGGGGTAATTTATATGACCATTAGTGAATAAAAACAGATTTAACAGGGCCCAATGTCTATGCACCAGGGGAAGCCAGGAAGTGTGATTATGTATACAGTAACACAGCTGCTCTTCCTGGGGAGAGCGGCCCCCCTTCCTGCTGCGGTTCTTCGTCACGGACCGTAGAGGAGGCTCAGTGCCCGAGGGGAAGGCTCCGGTAGGTCAGTGCCTCTGGAGGCCACAGCACGTGCTGGTTAAGCACACAGAGCAGGAAGCGCTCGAGTCCCGGCCTCAAGGATCACGCACCCTCGTGCTTGCGGACTGCTTCTGCTCACACACACCTCTTACGCCCTTCAGGGATGCAAGCACTGCTCTCACCCAGGCCTGGCCGTCCCCTGCTCACCTTTGGGGGATCAGCCGCTCAGAGCTGAGGTACCCTGACTTGTGCGTTTCTTTGTTATAGTCTCCAAACTTGGCCTGCACTGCATAGGAGCCCAGGAGCACCGCCGTCTCAGGAGGGCAGTAAATCTCATCGCTGAGAATTCCCTCCTTCACTTGGAGGAAGAAAAGCTTTTGCGTGATGTCCTGGATGAGCTCCTCAGACACATCTTCGGGGTAGAACTTGGCCCGGAACTTGAACTGAAGAGGGTTCTCCTTTCTGACCTCCTGTGCCGACACCTGCACCACAAACCCAAATGCCGCCTGCAAGCCTGGACACCAAGACCTGCCTCCCCAAACCAGTTCCTCACCACTCGCTCAAAGGGCTCCTGCAGGCCAGTGTTCAGAAGGTACATTTACTCGAAAGTCACCTTTTTTTTTTTTTTAAAGATTTTTATTTATTTATTTGAGAGAGAGAATGAGAGAGAGCGAGCATGAGGAGGGGAGGGTCAGAGGGAGAAGCAGACCCCCCGCCGAGCAGGGAGCCCGATGCGGGACTTGATTCCGGGACTCCAGGATCATCACCTGAGCCGAAGGCAGTCGCCCAACCAACTGAGCCACCCAGGCGCCCGAAAGTCACCTTTTAGACTAAGATGAGAAAAGGCCCGCTAAAGTCCAGCAGCAGCCCGCTGGTGACCCGCCAAGCCACGAGCGCCGGCCGCTACCTACTGGGGAGGTGCTCCCAATTCCAGAGAACTCAGATCTAGAAGCAGCCTGCTTAGGGACCTGTGAACCTGGCATCTGCCCCCGTGGCCAGTCAAGCTGGGGGCCCCTGGAACTTCCATTTAAAACTACTCATGTCCCCTCCCTTCCCTAATGGCCCCCACACTTACTATAGTAATATGGGAAGAAGGCACAGGTTTGGGAGAAGGGACATTTTCAAATTGTGTGGAGAAAACACATTTAAACTTATTGCTTTTCTTTACAGTTGTTAATGGAATTATTCAGTCTTTGGAGCCGGAAGATAACCTAACACAGGTTCAAACAAAGCAATAACCGGTTCTTACAAAACAGTGGATTCATGGTTTATAAGATTAACAATCTCATTGGGGAAAAAGAAACTAAGGTCAACTAAAAGCTAAGCAATTAACTATCATATGCCCCAATGAGTGAGCAGGAAGGAGAAATGCCAGGATCTAACTTCCAACCAGTATCCCCCATTTACTGGAAACCTGCAACTTTTTTTGTCTGTAAAAACTTTTACACAAATAACAAGAACAAAAAACAATCCAGTTTCAAAGTTAACAGAGCAGACCAACAATCAAACAACAGCCTGTAAATAGTTAACTCTGACTTACCTTTTTATCAAGTTTCAACCAGGTAGGAAATCCTTTATTATCCACATACTGGAGGCCAAAGTACCACACTTCCCGAAGGCCGATGGTCTTAACCACCTGTGTGAGAGAGACAGCGGGGCAGGGACTGAAGCAGCCAGGAGAGCGAGGTGCTGGCCGCCCCGTCACACCGAGCATGCCTCTCCTACACCATCCCAACAGGAATCCCAACCTATTACTAACAGAGGCTATTCCCCCAAAGCCGTGAACAATTTATTTTTAACATACACGAGCAGATTCAGGATTAACTTTAAATCTCAGAAAATCTTAAGATCTTATACATTCGCACCCCTACTCCTCCGTTCTCCACTAGCTTTCCCGAGTGAAGACAACCAGCTGAGTTAGAGTAAGCACTCATCAGGCACCCCCAGGTGACACTAGGGCAAGTGTGCATCCCAGGCGTGAATGTCTCCTTTCACGTGTGCCCACGTGAAAAAGGGGTTGAAAGTCACCAAGTGAAGCAAAGCAACACTTGGGTCTCCTCTGGTTGCCTGTCCCTGCTTCCCAGTCAGTTGGCCCAGGCCTCTGCTTAACTAGGAAGAGAGAAACAGCAGTCCCTGGGAAGGTGGGCAACGGACGGCAGCAAGCTTCCAGGGAAACTGGGGAGGTAGGGGAGTTATGCTTCACACATGCCAAGGGGTGACTAGCATTCTCCCAACCTCCAGAAATTTGAAATTCTGATATAGGAAGGCAGAATTCAACCCAAGGTCATAGCAAGAATTTTGTTATTTTAAAATTCTCCTCAGAGGGGCGCCTGGGTGGCTTAGTCGTTAAGCGTCTGCCTTCGGCTCTGGTCATGATCCCAGGGTCCTGGGATCGAGCCCCGCACTGGGCTCCCTGCTCAGCGGGGACTCTGCTTCTCCCTCTCCCACTCCCCCTGCTTGTGCTCCTTCTCTCGCTGTGTCTCTGTCAAATAAATAAAATCTTTAAAAAAAAAAAAATTCTCCTCCGAGGCACCTGGGTGACTCAGTTGGTTGGGCATCCTTGATTTCAGCTCAGGTTGGGCTCTCAGGCCACGTCAGGCTCTGCACTTAGCAGGGAGCCTGAGATTCTCGCTCTCCCTCTGCCTCTCCCCCTGCTCGTGTGGGCGTGTGCACACACGCTCTCTCAACTAAATGAATAAATCTTTAAAATAAATAATAAAATTCTCCACGACAGAATCCCACTGGTTATTCTTGTGTCTTAGAAACAGAAAAGCAACCTGCTGGGGACACTTAGTTGTGATGATGTCTAACGAGTCCCAGTGCTTTGCTGCATAGTTTAAATCCCATGACATACAATGCTAAGCCTTTATAAGAAGGTTACCGTTCTTCAAATATATGGCTTCTATCACATTTAAAGGGAAAGAGGTCTGAACACATGAGAAATGACCAATCAGGTATCTGGAGCACTTGCTTAAAATAAAATCTGAAATTCCAAATAGACTCCTGCTCTGAGCCTGTTTTCTCATCCACTGGGGGACCAGATGCTTGTGGAGCTCCAAGAGCCTGTTCACCATACACCAAAGATGGACCCGTTCATTGGCTCCCTCACTCCCCCAAAGAGTGGGAGGCAGGCTCCATCATGGGATGATGTGGAAGAACTTGGACTGTTCTAACTCCCAAGTCTCTTCTGAACCCTGCCTAGGTCTTGTTAGGGTAGCTGATATGAAGACCAGGTTTTCTGTACCCTATCCTGCTAATTTCTCCCTGTAAACCTCCATCTCAACATTTGGATATAAAACCTGCCTTGCCTTCCTCTTGGGTTGTTTCAAAATTGTATAGGAAAGCCCCACATTCATAAGCAATCTAGTCCTGTACTCCATCCACCGAACTTAGCCTTAGTCTGGGTCCTAACCAGTTTGAAATGATTTCCTGTCTGCTTGTCTCCCCTCCCCATCCCAGTCAGACCCTCGCTGATTTCCATGGCCACAGCACAGATGCCTCTTTACCTCTGCTATGATGTGGCCAGCCCCCTTGACGAAACAGATCACAGACCCTGGAACCACGCCATGGACATGACCCAGGGCTCCCACTCACTCAGTGAAAAGCCTGTCCCTGGGCGCCCCGATCTGCCAAATGTCTCCGTGGCATCTTCCATCACAAAGGAAGGTAACTGTCTGCAGCGTGTTTCAAAGCCTTACTTCTATTCCTGTGTCTTCCTCGAAACGGCACAATTGAATTAACCTGCTTTCATTCAGTCCATCTAAAAATCAACGCCTAAGTCCTCCTTATGGGGAAATCCAATATTCCTGGAAAAACGCACCTCACCATTCCCTCCAACGTCCTTAGTTTACCCTAAAGCTGATATACATCATGAAAGCACAATGTGAACAGGTGCGGGGTCTATTCCTTTATCTCTGCCTCAGCGGTGTTTTAAATGGCAGTTTTGGAAAGGAAAATGCAGGGACAGGTCTACTTGGCTCAATCTGAAGTGACAGCTGGAACATATGCTTTGATGATGGAAACAATGGGCATACTGAGTCACACCCTTCTCGCCACCTCAGGAATTTTGGCAGCGGGAAGGCACTGCTCGGGCCCTCCGTCAGATCCCTGGACTAGTATCTAGGCGCAGATAAAGCAAGAGCCCTGCGGTGGAGTTGGGCCAGTTTTTGCAGAAGAGACTGAAGTAACTCATGGGTTGGGAGAGAAGGGTTCTGACTAACTCACCTCTAAAGTCTCTTTCAACCCATTCCATTTAAGGACCATATTCTAGGGACTAGTAGTTTGGCCCATGAACAACCTTCCCAGACCTAGAAGGTCATCAGGTGAGCAACAGAGAAAAGGACACAGACTCTGAAGACATTAAGAAAACATGCCCAGCCTGGTTGGGGTATGGGGAAGGAGTCCCAGAAAGCACCCAGGGCATCCACTGAGGAACTGTCCTGACCACCCACACACAGGAAGGTGGGATGTTCTCTGCGTCATGTGCTATCTTGGAAGGATGTGGAAGGATCTTCAAAAAGACAAGCGTAAGTAGGGTTGGACACTGTGGAGCAAACCCCTGCCCCAGCCCCGGCAAGCTACAGAACCTTGGGCAATTCTCTTCTCTCTCTGGGCCTTGATGTCCTCACTTATGACATACAGACAGCCGTTTCCCAGGTCTGCTCTAGCCTTAGCCTTCTCAGATTATGTGGTACTTTTCAGGACAGGTACACCGAACTGTAAAGAAATTAAAAGTGAACTCTGACAGAGAGCTTTGTGATCCAGGTCTCGTGGCTGAAGGTGGAGTTCAGGATCTTTCTGTCTCCCACTACTTCCCTTTCCATTAACTGATCGGTGGTGGAATTTCATTACCTGTCTTGGGAGGTTGGTGGAGATTCAGGCAGGAAACACGACTTGGGAACAAAGAGATCAAAGTGGGATGTGGCCCTGCTTGTTGTTTAGCACACGGAACCAGGGGGCTTGACTTTCTGGGGTGGGGAATAATAACAGGTGCTTGAATAGGATCGTTGATGGGACTAATGAGCTTTGGAATAATTTAGATACAGAGCTTATCAAATCTTGGCATGTTGACTGGATTTATGTGGTTAGCACTTTTTAAATAACCCCTATCTACTGATTGAGTTCAGGGTCCACTTTTTGTACACCTATTAATCCACAGCTCCATGCTATGGTAAGCAGATAATCTAATATTAGAAAAATACCTGGCTTAAAACCAATCTGAACACCAAACTAGATGTAATTACTCAGCATTTAGGAACATGTAGAGTTCTATCAATATGGCACCCTGGATCAAGAAGTGGAGATAATCCCGTGCAGTATGCAGCTCTGTGCCTAGCACAAGAGTGTGCAGTTAAAAATGTCTGTAGAACTGAACCATCCGAGGGGAGTATTTGAAGGAACAGGGCAGGCCTCTCCCAATCTCTCCATTCCCTCCCCGCTTCCAAAGGACCCCAAGGAGCAGACAAGGATCTTCTAAGAGGTAGTGGCCGTTCTATCTTGCGGAAGTACCATAGACTCTTCTGATGGCTTCTTCACACAATTTCTGAGAAGCAACACGTGAATGGAACAAGGCAGACGGAGGCAAGGGCAGCTAAATGGCTGAGACATCAAAACTCTATCATCTACCGAACTAGAGTTTCCAACTCTGCTCTAAAAATTGCTTGAGGACAGCCCAGCTCTCCTTTACAGACAAGAACTCTGGGGTGACCGAGGGTCTCCTACCCATCCCTGTTCTAACCACTGACCCACATGGCACTCAGCTGGCTCCATTTAACTTACTTCCGGATTATCTTTCCCGAGAAACCTTTAGATTTTTGCCCCAAGTCCAGCCTCACCCAGAGCAGTGGATGCCTTTATCCTTGGAGGGTGAGGCAGAGCCAGGGATGAGCTCGCCACAGCTGCACAAGGAGAGCTGAGGAGGTGTCCCCGCCTATCGCAGGAGGCCCGGGGGGGACACACCACACCAGTGCTGGCTCCTGGGGCTGCTGGACACAGCTGGCCCAGCACACGGGGGAGGGGAGGTGGAGAATTAACCTACTAGGTGCTCACTGTGGGGTAAGAGAAGGAGGGATCATCAAGCACGGCAGGGAATCACCAACCCCTTTTACATTTGCTGGAATTCTATCTCCCACATTTCCCATCAGCACCCACCCCCATTTCTGGGTTTGGTGCTAGGGTACAGAACATCACCTTTCCGATCAGTGGGACCTCTCAGGGAGGCAGGCTACAGCTCAAGGGACTTGTAAACTCAGTCTGCTCCTGCTGCCCTCTTGGATCCTTGGCCCCAGAGCAGAATTTACTCAGCTCAGAGAGGCAGATCTTGTCCTAAAACTTGGAACTGTTCCATGGAAGAATTATCACAGCTTTCCTGGTGGCTCATGATTATCAAAACTCTGCATTCACCTTCAGGCCTCAGGAAGAAATATTCAGGAATGTAGTTGTGCTCTACTGCCCAGCTCAAGGAAGAGCATCTGCTGACACCTGAGTGAGTTCACAGATGCTGCAGTTGGACATGGAACCTATGGCCTGCCCGGTTCCAGCTGGGCCCTCAAGCAGTGTCTGGCCCTCGCCGCACTGTGACCTGCTGACCAGATGGCAGGAGATGGCTGCAGTGACCATGAAGACCCCTGGGGGTGAGGGATGGGAGCCAGAGCTTTTGGACGTAGCACTATGCTGATAAAGACTTCAGAGCATTCCCTAAATTTCCTCTCACAGGGCTGTGAACACTCTACTCCTGCAGAGTTTTTACAACAGTGTGAACCCCTGGAAGGAGGGGAAAATGTCCTCCTCTACAGAGAGAAGTAAGGAGCAAACCAATACACTCAGCAAAATTATTCAGATTTGCAAAAAAATTTTTCCTAAATGGGAGTTCTCTCTCTAAGCTCACAGAGACCAACCTGATCAAAAAGCTGTTTTCCTGTTGTATTTGGCTGGATGGCGAACTCCAGCTCCGCATCCATGGTGGTAACTCGGACGTTGATCTAAAAAGAGAACAAAATGCATTATACTTAACTGAGTGTTCCTTTCTAATAATCTGAGCCTTCTGCAAAAACTCTAAGCTACTTAGCAACATGGCAAGAGTAAATTCCATCCATTCTCATGCTGTCACAACACACACATGCACACACACATGGAAGCCAACGGTAGACAGCTGCTGAGTCTCAGCATTGCACAGTTTGGACTCAAATGTATGCCCTCTTTGCTTTAATAAAGCACATTCACACTTCAGTCTAGGCTGTTTTTCTACAGAATACTTTGATAACCATTAACATATTTTTCCATGTACCAGCTTGTATTGACCTTCACGACAGCCAAGGAAGGCACCAGTGGGGTGGTGAGCCTCCTCAAGAATTCAGACCAAGACAGTAAGTGAAAGGAGAGAAGGAACAACATACCAGCATGTTTAGAAACACTGGAAACTAGTGGAAAGAGAAATGGTCAGATGACTAAAGAGCATATCCTATAGTAATTTAAAATGCCAATTATGAAGAAGGTAGAAACATGGAAAACTGCTTCAGGAATGAAAGACATGAAAAGCAAAATGGTACACATGCCCTCACTGCAAACCTGTGAGAGCCTCTAGGCAGAGGACGGAAGTAAAATGTGGGGATGGACGCATCATGGGATGGTCAGCTCACAAGGAACTGAAGTGGGGGTGAAGAGGGGCCTTAAAAAGGTCTCTAATTCCCATCAAGTTTGTTTAAAAAATTCACTGCAAGGTAGTTTTCAAATTTATCACTTGAGAAAACTCAAATTTACTAGCCATATGAAAGACAGACCAATCTACTTTCATCACTGTCCCAAAGGAAAACACCACAGCCACACAGCAACAGTAATGCTTAAGATTAAGAAATGTTTGCTTTTGACCATTTTTAAAGTGAAATATGTAAGAAGCTGGATGGACATGTACCCTAAATTCTCCCTGCCTCGGATGTACATACCACGGGAACACAGTAATAGAACTAAGGCTTAGCTGACAGAGGTTCAAGTGTCCGGCCAGCGCAAGGCACACATTCGGCGCCCACGCTAGTTCTTACTTTAGGAACAAAATCCATCTTCATGGATTTTTTCTTCTAACCCCCAAGACTGGTAACTAAGAGATACGTTGACACAAATCTACTGTCTTTTAAAGGTTCTCCGGCTGACAGTAAAGAGAAGTGAGGTGTAATTTTCCACAATTTCAAGAAAGTCTCCCCTCCGATCTCAAGTTTACAAAAGATAAAGCATATTTTAAATTCTTCAATTGTATTAAAATATAAAAACCTAAGTTTCTTTGTTTTTCATGCTGGCAATAATTTGTTTTTTTAAAAAAAAATCACAAAATGGCTGTTATGAAACATAAAAGATAAACAGCTTTCTCAATTATGGTTCCAAATGCACATATCAGAAATGAAAAATCAGCTCCAAAGTCAAATATTCCAGGAGACAAATGCAGCTCCATTACACACTCATAAGCCCACAGCGACACATCACACCCAAAACTAAGGTTGGGGGTGGGGGGGCCTTACAAATACAGGGCCTTTGATACGCTTTGCTGAATAACTGATTGCAAACTGATTAACAGGAATATAGAAAAAACCATTCTAAGGTTTGAATCAGTTTCACATTTGACTCAAAGCTAACACAACTCTTTGAAAAAGCAAATAAGAGGATGGATATAACAAGCCAGTAGTCTGTAAAAAGTAAACTAAGTATGATGAAAAGGTCTGCGTAACCTCTATAAACTACATCTGCCACCGCGAGACCTAATCTGCTATCCACTGCTCCAACGTGGCCATCCTGCCCAGTTCTAGCGGGTCTGGTCTTCCCAGAGAATTCTTTCTGGGAGCTCCAACACCCAAAGGCTATCATGAAGCCTGGTATATTACCTCAAGCAAAGATGGCAAGCCTAACGATCAGGCTGAGTTTTTCTGGCACTGCAATAACAAACAAAACTGGGACAAACAACAGGAAACAAATAGGTTTTTCTCCATTGTTTGGTCCCTTGGCCCTGTCAAAAGGAGTAATTCCCAGATCTGATTTGGGGACACATCAGAATTTTTATTTTCAAAAATGCCCCTAAAATTAAAGTCAAGTTAATTTTATCAATATATAGCTCTACAATGTGCTGAGATGAGAGAACTCATGAACTTAAACAACCCGTGAGAGACGGTAGGCTGGCGGCCTGCAGCTGAGCTGCTCCGAGTCACAGCTGTGCACGGTCCTGGACTGGTCACCACCCTTACTAGGTTTCCCACAGGGGGCACGACTGGCACTCTGGGTGTAGGTGTTCCTTCGCAAGACTATCTCAAGTGCATCCCTGAGCCCACCTACTAAACACAGCTGTCCCCAGGCACCGGGGGAATCTACAAGTGCCCCCTACCATTTCCACATGCTCTGAGGAGAAGGGAGGTTGCTACCCAGACTAAGGACCACAGCAGGGCACTGCCTTCATCAGCAGCAGGTTAAAGAGTTCCATGTTTATAAAGCCTATTAAGATTATTTTCAATTTTATGGATCTTTAATAATGAAATATAGCATAAACTTGTATCAAAGTTTAAAATTAAGCATTTACGCAGATGACAGGACCATTTATATACACATTTTGGTCCACTTATCCAGGGGCTTAAAAGAAATCAGATTTGGGGTGCCTGGGTGGCTCAGTTGGTTAAACCACTGCCTTCGGCTCAGGTCATGATTCCAGAGTCCTGGGATCAAGCCCCGCATCGGGCTCCCTGCTCATGCGGGAAGCCTGCTTCTCCCTCTGCTTGCTGCTCCCCCTGCTTGTGCTCTCTCTCTCTTGCTAGCTCTCTCTCTGTGTCAAATAAATAAATAAAATCTTTAAAAAATATATTAAAAAAAATAAATCAGATTTTAGCAATTAAGGAAACCTATCTAAATCCCAACTCTTTTCTGAGACAGAGAGAGGGCGTGTGCGAGAGCTCAGGTGAGCAAACAGGGTGGGGAGGGGCAGAGGGAGAGGGAAAGGATCTTAAGCAGGCTCCATGCCCAGAGCAAAGACCTGAGCTGAAATGAAGAGTCGGACACTTAACCAACTAAGCTGCTCAGGCGCCCCCTGCCCCTTTAATTATCTTTGTCTTGAGTTTTCATGGAAAGCAACTGTTTTGATGGAAGATGACGCTCGTATCTGCAACAGGGCCACAGAAATAAAGTGGGCTTGTACGGTCCAGCACGATAAATGTGAGGATGGTCCTACCAAGAAACCAGAGGTCCACAGGCTTAAAACCTACCCCCCCCCACACCCCAACCGGGTGCAAAGGCTGGGAGAAAGAATGCGTGTTTTGCAATTTTTATTGCCTTGGTAATTACCCCCAGATCACACTTCTCATCAAAGGCAACTATTTGCTGAAGGCAACAGGATCCCATAGTAACATGTGCTCCAGGTGTGTATACAGAATATGCAGTTAGTCACTGAAAATCGAACCCCAAAGGCAGTGTTTCTCTTAGGCCTGACAAAACGCTGAAAACCTTTTAAACATTCTGCTTTGTTTGGGGTGGATGACGGTGATTAAAGTTTAGTTTTGCTCATGTACGTCCACCACACCCACACACCCCACTGCGGCTGACAGTGTAGATGGTACTTTAATTCAGGTCTCCTCTACATGCTACCCCAACTGAAGCTAAAAGACAAAGCCACACCGAAAGTCCTGAAATGTTAGAACATAGAAGGAACCAGACGTAACTGTACCCCACTATGTGTAATGGGAATTCATAAATAAGTTAGATAATGGAGTTAACAACAGGTTTTTAAACTCCACAGATTAAAAATAATGAGGTCGTCCTCCTGCTATATACTATGTCAGAATTTTAGAATACGAGAACTTGTCTTAGACCCAAGTCACAACACGTTAATGAAGATGCCTGAACCCATGCAGGGAAATGAGGTTCTGATGAGTATAATGCCTATTTTCCAAATTGGCCATATTTAGCTGAAAAATCTTTCTTCTTTTGTCCCAGTGAACTAGCTTAGTAGAGGAGTTGTGTTTTCATTTCAGTAAGACAGAATATCAGTATATGCTGCTGGTTTGTATCTTCAGCAAGAGAGGGAACACAAGCAGGGAGAGTGGGAGAGGGAGAAGCAGGCTTCCCACTGAGTAGGGAGCCCGATGTGGGGCTCGATCCCAGGACCCCGGGATCATGACCCAAGCCGAAGGCAGACGCCTAACGACTGAGCCACCCAGGTGCCCGAGAGAAAGGTTTTAAAAACAAAAATCGGAATGAACTTAAGTTTTATTTCTAAAACAAGAACAAAAGTTGCCAGTAAAAATTCTTACATCTAAGCAAAATGCCATGCATGCTTTTTTTTTTTTCCACGACCATGACTACTGAACAGGTACATGCACCACACCTCTAGAGAATGCATAGGTTATTTGGTATGGGAATTTAATACATAAACCTATCTTTGCCTTAGTTAATGAAGTTAATGAAAACCTAACTCTAATGCTGTCTCTGTCCTCCCTCTGCTTAATAATCTACTCTTTAAAAAATTCTCTTTGCTGTTCTTATGGGTTAGCTCAGCTCAAGACTGTGACACTACAAGCCAATGAACCATAATAGCTTCATTTCACTGTTCCCAGCCTGCCCCAGTTAGTGGGCACTGGCATACCTTTGGGGCTCACTCACTCTACAAGGACCAAATACCTACCGGGTGCCCCAGGCACCAGGGGGGCCCTGCGACAAAGGGAGTCACAGCAAAGAGATGGGCATCGAATAGCTTCTATTCATCATAGTTGTTTCCAAATGGGCCCCAGAGCAGCCTTTCAAATACCCGAGTTTCTGGGCCTTAGCCCAAGAATCTAAAGCCATGCAAGTGAGGACCAGCTGAATTGAGGGATCACTGAACCAGAGGCAAGAGAACACAGCCAGCGCTGGGTTTGAGAGCTTGTGCTGCAGCCTGAGGACCTCCCTCGACTGGGCCTCACCCCCCTCAACTGCAAACCAAAGGTTTGGACTAGAAGTCCTGAGGCCCTTCTGCCGCTGAAATGCTAGGTCTAGAGTCC